TGTTTGCGACATCATCACTGCAGAGGTTTTGAGGTTCATGAGGATGGATTTGCCTGTTCTGGTCAATGCAGTCAGGGATGAGTTGATTTCAGTATTGGATGAGTGCCTTAGGATTTTACAGGCCGACTTGGAGGCCAGTCGGCCATGGGTCCGTAGGGTTACCTTCAAGGAGTTTTATGCTTGTGGAGCTCCTCGTTTCATGGGGATAAGGGAGCCTATCATCAGTAGGTGTTGGATCGTAGATGTGGAGAGTTCCTTTCTTGTCAGATTCTATCCGGCGGAGACCAAGGTCAGGCTTGCAGCGTGTCTGATGTGCGATGGAGCTAGGGATTGGTGGAACGGGGTTATTGAGGGTCTCGAACCAGGTGCAGTCGAGTCTATGACTTGGGAGGATTTTGTTACCAGGTTCAATAGAGATTTTGTGTCGGCGATTGAGGTTCATCAGTTAGGTCGGGAGTATCTTGCACTAGAGCAGGCTACAGAGACGGTGGCTGAGATCACCGCCAGTGGCAGAGCTAGATGGGTCGTTGGGGGTACTACATCATCCCCAAAAAATTGTTTTATGTATATAAAAAAATTTATTTATAAACATGTTCTATGTTATTGTACCCCCCAACTTAAGATATTGTACCATGTTTTTTAATGCCCGGGATATGATAACTACATAGAATATATATTGATAATGTTTGTACTCCCATATCAAAATTCCTAGCTCCGCCACTGATGACCGCCACGTTCAGATAGAGAGCGGTGTTTTGCCCTCAATATGCAACAACAAAGGGGATGAAGATGAGACACTCATGGTTTATAATGGAGATCCGTGAGCTTGCGAGCATTTCTAGCTGCAACAATCTTCCCGATTTAGTGGAGGCAGCCAGGGACATTGAGTTGGAGTTGGAGGCCCAACAATAGAAGAGAAAGTGATCATGTCCATGCATCAACAACGATAGTCAAGAAGACCATAGTGACTGATAATCGGTCTGGAGATCGAGGGATTCAATGGTTCTATGGTAGGTGTTGTTTCGGGGTATTTGTGGTGCACCGGTTTTTTGGGTGCTTCATATGTGATTAGGAGGTTCACTACAGCTGGGACTGTACTTAGAGGGAGTCGAGGGTATGCTTCTTTTGTAGTCACCCGGGCCATGTTAAGGTTGATTGTCCTCGGGAAGCAGATGGGATGGTTTTGGATCCAAAACCTTTGGCCTGGGAGTTTTTGGATCTATGGCATGGGACAGTTGGATATGAGTCAGGATTGGAGTTATCAGTTTCTTCAGTTCGATTGGGTGCAACATTCGTTTGTGTCATCGACGCTTTCTATTTATGTTTTCGTTGTTTCAATTGTAATCTTGGGTGATATGTTGAATGGTATTGTTTTAATCAACTTTGGTTCTGTATTGAATAATTATTTATGATGTTTTGCTTATAGTTGTGGGGTTGTACACGTATGTTGGAATTCTTTGGTCTTTGTTTAAAGGATTCACATTCTCTTATGCCTTTTGATGTCAGGTGTGGTTGTTAGGAACCAACTAGAGAAGTTGCCGGATTGGCCCAAAAATTTGAATGGTTATCAAGTCATCAGAGTCTAACCCATTTCCAAGTGAGGAGAATCACTTTATCAAATGGAAGATCTTAGAGTGGCGGTCATACTGAAGTTTCATATTCAAGGATAAAGGATAAAGGTTCGGGTCATTGTCAGAGGTGAAGCTTATGCAAGGAGTATTATTCAACAGACAGTTGTGACCAAAGAAGCTGATGTTGAGGATTCAACGTTATCTTCTCTTGAATACTAGAAGCATCAGTAGTGACGCAAGATAGAGTTAATGATTAGGCTCAGGTCGAGGGATGTGTGAGGGCATCTCTGTATGTTCTTGTTTGATAAAATCATTGTGGTTTGAAGCATGGCCCAAACACCTTATGGGTTCCAACATACTAGGGAACCGTTTCACGTTGGTATATGCTAGATTACCTTAGTAGTTCTTGTGTTAAAGACCATGGTTGGATCATGGTAGGAAAGACTGCAGCTAGGTTGTAGCAATAAAAGTGATTGTAAGACTATGGTTGGACCATAGCATTCACATGGGTTGAAACAAACCGTTGGCTGAAACAGGTCGGAAGTGATTGTAAGATTATGGTTGGATCATAGCATTCACATGGGTTGAAACAGACCGTTGGCTGAAATTTACCGGAAGTGATTGTAAGACTATGGTGGGTCATAGCATTCACATGGGTTGAAATAGACCACTGGCTAAAATAGCCCGAAAATGATTGTAATACTATGGTTGAGTCATAGGATTTTGTGACAACCCAGAGAATATGTCACCAACCGTCATCAACGTTTAACGATAAGACTTAAAAATGTTATAAGGTCAACCTTGTATCTACTCGATATATTTTAATATATTTCAAATTTACGTCCTTAACTACGTCAACCTAAAAGGCTAAAAAATAAGTGTGCAAAAAGTCGTGTCACTTTGAGAGAAGGTTAGCATATTTAGACTCCTTAAGCCACTGCGATTCCAGAAATATAAATTTTGTAAGAACCGACACAGTATGGGTGAGATATGGCATTTATGGTAAATGAATATCTACCGTAATTAAAAAGTTACAATGACGAAAACTACAAGGAGACTGGTCGATGTTTGGAGAAAGTCACCAACTAGACAATCATAGTACTACTTAAAGTAGGAATTATAAGGCAAGGAACGCCTAAAACGGACGTTATATGTGAGAGTTATGACTTTTATAAGATTATAACGGTAATAAAATCATGTCGAAAAATGAAAGTCAAAACTAGACAAAATGACCAAAAGGAAAGTCGTAGAGAATGACGAGACCTACACGGATATATAAGAGTCGTTGAGAACAGAGTTCGTATGCAACAGTTACGAAAATTCGAAGTTGAATTTTTACCGTCACACATGTTGAGATGAGAACACGTGGCACCATCGTGCGGTTCACGCGCATTTGCGCGGCGCACGCTCCAAAATTGCTATAAATAGCAGGTTTTGGCAGCTCATTCTTCCCCACCCCACTCTTTGATTCTCTCTTTATTTTGTTCCACGTGCGATTGCCACGGTCGACTCTTGAAGTGGTAACTTGTGGTTTCTACCCTACACCAACGTTTTCATACTCACAGGTGAGTTTTACGGCCCCATCTTCCAAATCTTTTCGGAGGGAAATACATGTCTAAAATGCAACTTTACATAGTTATCACTAATTACAATTAGATAATTATGCCCATAACATTAGGATGATATTAGGCCCGATAGATACTCTACCCAAATTCTTTAGCTAATAGTATGTCTAGTTGTTATGCTAAACCACTATGATAGATAAGATCATACCTAGTTGTCACGGTGTTCAGTTTCCAGTAAACGTTGAAACTCGTTATTATAGCCACCTTTAGATAAGCTTAGTACCTAGTGTTACACGGCCCAAATTCTTGGCTATGCAAAAAAACTATATATATATATATATATATATATATATATATATATATATATATATATATATATATATATATATATATATATATATATATATATATATATATATATATATATATAAGTAAAACCGTATAAATACAATGCGAATAACAACACGACCGACCAGGGGAGGCCCCCACGACAAGAGTTAGATGAGACATAATTCATCAACACGCTGATAGATTTTCAGCTAGCACCCAACCTATAATCGTTAATTCTTAACTGAGTGAGGGAGATATGTATAGATCTATACGGTATTGACATTCCCACCTCTGGTTGCTATCTATAACCCAAAGACAAGTCGAAGTCGGCGTAACGTTCAGAACACAAGGATGTCCGATGAAGCGTCGTGGATTTCGGGATCAACAGTCATAGCTCGATTATAGGAACTCATCATAATGTTGTCAAACTAAAACTAGCTATAACTACTATTAGGAACTAATCCAATTAAGTAGTGACAAAACACACAAACTCGAGGAAGCGAGTTTAGGTCAACCAACACGTAACTATCTTAGACTACCACTAGGAACCTACCTATGGAAGTAGTGATAGTACTCATAAACTCAAGGAAGTGAGTTTAGGATAAACAACACAACTAAAATACCCACACATGTTTTATAACAAAAAAACCTATGGACTCACCAACATTATGTTGACCTCTTAAACCACATGTATTATCAGCAGAATCAACTCGTCTGAAGGAGGAAATAACCCTACTTCTTGACTACTTACGGGCGAGGTGACTAATTTGAACTATCGCTTGGGTTGTTGGATTTCAGAACGGCTATATGCTGAAATGATCTTACCCTCCGGTACTTCTCATCTAGCCGATCTTTACTTGATAGTCTTGGAGTAAAAAACCGTAAAATACACCCAACCTAACAAAGATTAAGAACGATATAGATACGTTCATATAAGTATACCTATTACCCAAGAATACGAACCCAAGAAGTCGCAACTCAGGATTTTAGGTCAAAAACCATATTTAGAGTTGGCATAGTACAACGGTTGTACCACGACTAGACCTAATATGTGCAACTAAGGTTTATTATGGTTCCACCTATGCATAACCGAACTCGGATATGGTGGTTGACAATCTAAATGCTTGAGGACTTCTGGATTGGATGCTTAGGTGAGGATTCTATACTCAGAGGCTTCTCTTAGAGACTTCTACGTCTGGGGATGGCTAACTCAACTGAACTAGGAACCTCTAACTTACAACATAGTGGAGGGACTCAGGAGTTATGGGTACTATCTATTACATACTTATTATCTAATATTATATAGTATTTAATTGATCTTCACGTATCTCATAAACATCTTCCTGTTGGATGTCTTATGTAGGTTTGCCGAGAGCATGGCAAGCGATGGATCATGGAGGGCAGCTTCCTCATCATAGGAAGAGTGTATAGTACGTGATGACTCATTCAATACCCTGGAGGACGGTGATGGCTCAGATTCGATTATAGTCTAGTTGAGCACCGGTCAGAGCCAGCCCTTTCACCAGACTACACAATGGATGGGCTAGAGCTTCTCAGTTCCGAGTACGAGTCCAATAAGGATGATGAGGAGAATGACACCTCACCAGAGACCTCACCACTCCACCTCACTCCTTCACATCAGTCTTACAGGACACCCACAGGTACTCAGTTGAAGCAAACACTGAGGAATGTTGTTACTACCCTCTCACGGAAGAGGGCGGCGTGCCCACCAGCATCACCAATGATAGCAAATAAATCCCGCGAATGCCATTTGGATTTCCCAAATACAAACCTGAGCATAGTAGGAGGCTATTGGCTCACGGTTCGAGGTAGGGGAATCATCCACTGCACTCCTACCCCGAATACTCATGTGGATAATGTCATCTCTCTTCTAGTGCCCTGCACTGCACATCACTCACACCGTATTGGAGCAATGGACACTGAGTTCTTCTTATTGAGGACAACCTTGATGCAACTCACAGAGAGGGTGCAGTACTTGGAGGATGAGACTGACCTGATGGAGATGAGGACCTTACGTGTATAGGATCAGTTGCAGGAGGCGCAGGAAGAGGTCCAGTTCCATCACCAGGTGGTATATGGATCAAATAGAGTTCCAGGTGGAGAGGGTGGAGTCTCAAGTCTCTTTTTTTATGTTTAGATAGAGTTTGTAAATAGACAGTTAGTCCAGATGATGGCACTTATTATAGTGTACTGTGGTTTTTAGTTTTTAGTTTTTGTTTTGGCCCTAGAATGACATCTAGGAGGGTTATGGATATTTTTCTTTTAGGTTATGGTAGTGGGAAAGGCTTACACATGTATGTTTTGTAATCCCAATGCTTTTCCTACCCTAACCACACTCTGTTTTGGTGACTGCGGCATGGAATATATACATATTATACATACCTAGTTGCATGAAATATGTGTTGTTATTGTTGTTGCCATGAACATGAACACTAACACGCCATAACCTAACCATGAGAGTGCAAACTTCCTAATTCTGACAAATTAACTCACGTCTCGACACTAACTTTAGGAATCTAGAAATGGCTAATGGAGAATCCGGTAGTACTCAGGAAATATTAGAAACTTCCTTCTAACTCTCAATAACCACTCATTTCATGTCAACATCATGGCTATGACCATCGATAGTTTCGATGTCATAATCGACATGGAGTGGTTATCGCCGCACCGAGCTGAGATCTTATGCTACGATAAGATAGTACGACTACCCTTACCCAACGGGGAATCCTTAATAATCTACGGAGATAAAACCAGCAAAGGCCTAAGAATCATCTCTTGCATGAAGGCGCAAAAGTACCTTCACAAGAAGTATCACACTTTCTTGGCCCATATCATAGACAAGAGGGGCGAAAAGAAGGAAATAATGGACATACCCTAAGTATGTGATTTTCCCAATGTATATCTGGAGAACTTTCCCAGACTACCGCCAATTCGCGAAGTCAAATTTCAAATTCACCTAGTCCTAGGGGCAACTCCAATGGCAAAATCACCCTACGATTATCCCCTTTTGAAATGTAAGATTTGTCCGGTTAACTCCAGGAGCTTTTGGATAAAGGCTTTATAAGACCGAGTTTCTCACCATGGGGAGCCCCGGTGCTATTCGTCAAAAAGAAGGGCGAAACCTTCAGAATGTGTATCAACTATTGAGAACTGAATAATTTGACGATCAAGAATAGATATCTACTCCAAAGGATTGACGATATGTATGATCAACTACAAGGATCCAACTTCTACTCAAAGATTGATTTGAGGTCCGGCTACCATCAACTTCGAGTGTAGTGTGCCAATTCTTTCACTTCCGAAAGGAACCGAAGACTTTGTTGTCTATTGCGACGCATCGCATTAGGTCATGGGATGCGTACTTATGCAAAGAGACAAAGTGATCGCTTATGCCTTGTGATAACTCAAGACTTACGAGAATAATTACACCACCCATGACATGGAGACACTACTTGTATGGCATAAAGTGTGTCATATACACGGACCATAAGAGTCTTCACCACATCTTCAACCAAAAAGAAATCAACATGAGGCAGCGAAGATGGCTTGAGCTGCTGAAAAACTACGAGTGTAAGATTCAATATCACCATGGAAAAGCTAATGTAGTAGTCGATGCCCTAAGTAGAAAGGCACGAGTCAAACCTTGTAGACTGAAAGCGCTCACTCTAACCATCCAATCAAACTTTCCTGTCAAAATTCAAGAAGCCCAAGTAGAGGCACTCAAGGAAGAAAATAAGACAGAAGAATGCCTACAAGGGATGGAGAAACAATTGAGTCCAAAAAAATGGAACCTTATGTTTCATGGACCGAATTTGGGTACCAAAATATGGCGACATCAGGAGTCTGGTACTAGACGAAGCTCACAAGACAATATACTCAATTCACCTAGGATCTAATAAGATGCATCTTGACTAGAAGCAAAGGTACTGGTGACCGAAATTAAAGGCAAAGATAGCCACCTACGTGAGAAAGTGTTTGACCTGTGCTAAGGTCAAGGCAGAATACCAGAAACCATCGGGTCTACTGCAACAACCCGAAACTCCCGAATGGAATGAGAAAAATTTGCCATGGACTTCATCACAAAACTACCCAAGACCCCTAGCGGTTATGACACTATTTAGGTAGTAATCAATCGTTAAGTTCGCCCATTTCCTACCCATTAACGAGACGAACAAAATGGAGAAGTTAGCCAGGACTTATGTCAAGGAAATAGTCCGACTACACGGCTTACCAACACCGATCATTTCGGACAAAGACATCTGATTTACATCTCAGTTCTGGTAAACAATGCAACGAGCATTAGGATCCCGACTCGATATGACTACCGCCTACCACCCGCAGACCGATGGTCAAAGTGAAAGGACCATACAAACCCTGGATGATATGCTCATAGCATGTATGATAGACTTTGGAGATGCATGGGATATTTACCTACCATTGTTTGAGTTTTCCTATAACAATATCTATCACACGAGTATAAAGTTTGCACCATTTGAAGCACTTTATGGGAGAAAAAGTCATTTACCGTTGTGTTGGGCGGAAGTCGGTAATACCCAACTAGCAAAGAAAAATACAGGGAACATGTTGCTAACCGGACCTAAGATTATTCACGAAACAACCAAGAAGTTCGTGAAAATTAAGGAACGGTTGAGAACAGCTTGTCATCGTCAAAATAAATACGCTGACTATCGACGAAAACCACTTGAATTTCAAGTTGGAGATTGAGTCATGCTAAGGGCATCTCCTTGGAAAGGAGTTATAAGATTTTTGCAAGAGAGGCAAACTCAATCCGAGATACATAGGACCTTTTTAGATCCTTGCAAAATAGGCCTGGTAGCCTACCGACTCGCTCTACCCTAAGAGCTCAACAACGTACACAAGTTCTTCAACGTTTCAAACCTTAAGAAATGTCTGTCTTAAGACATGCTAGTTGTACCTCTCGACGAATCCAGATCGACACAAAACTCAATTTCGTCGAGGAACCAGTCGAGATCATGGATCGCGAAGTCAAGAGGCTTAAGCAGGCCACATTCACATAGTCAACGTACGATGGAACTCTAAACAAGGACCAAAGTACACATGGGAACATGAAGATCAAATGAGGAACAATTATCCCTATTTATTTGAGAACGCCCAACTATGTGCTAAATTTCGGGGCTAAATTTCTTTTAACGAGGGGGAGGATGTGACAACCCAGAGAATACGTCACCGACCAACATTAACATTTAACGATAGGACTTAAAAATGTAATAAGGTCAACATTATAACCACTAGATATATTTTAATATATTCAAAATTTTCGTCCTTAATTACGTCAACCTTTAGGCACAAAAATAAGTGCACAAAGAGTCGTGTCACTTTGAGAGAAGGTTAGCATATTTAGACTCTTTAAGCCACCGCGATTCCAAAAATATAAATTTCGTAAGAATCCGACACAGTATGGATGATATATGACATTTATGGTAAATGAATATCCACCGTAATTAAAAAGTTACAGCGACGAAAACTACAAAGAGACTGGTCAACTTTTGGAGAAAGTCACCAACTAGACAATCGTAGTACTACTTAATTAGGTATTATAAGGCAAGGAATGCCTAAAACGGATGTTATATGTGAGAGTTATGATTTTTATAAGACTATAACAACAATAAAAACACGTCGAAAAACGAAAGTCAAAACTAGACAAAACGCCCAAAAGGAAAGTTGTAGAGAATAACGAGACCTACACGAATATATAAGAGTAGTTGAGAACAGAGTTTGTATGCAAGAGTTATGGAAATTCGAAGTTGAATTTTTACCATCACACGCGCTCGCGCGCACTGATACCTGATTACGTCGAGATAGGGGATGATGTGGCATGCTGAGATGAGGACATGTGGCACCATCGTACGGTTCACTCACATTCTGCGGTGTGCGATGCGCGACGCATGCTCCAAACGTTCTATAAATAGCTAGTTTCAGCAGCTTATTCTTCCTCACCCTACTCTTCGATTCTCTCTATTTTTTGTTCTGTGTGCCTTCGCCCCGGTTAACTCTCGAAGTGCTAACTTGTAGTTTCTACCCTACTCCAACGTGCTCATACTTACAAGTGAGTTTCACGGCCCCATTTTCCAAATCTTTTTGGGGGGAATACATGTCTAAAATGCAACTTTACATAGTTATGACGAATTACAGTTAGATAAGTATGCCCATAGCATTAGGATGATATTAGGGTCAATAGATACTCTGCCCAAACTCTTTAGCTAATGTTATGCCTAGTTGTTATGCTAAACCACTATGATAGATAAGATCATACCTGGTTGTCACACTGACCAATTGTCAAGAAATGATGAAACTTATTATTATGGCAACCTTTGGATAAGCTTAGTACCTAGTGTTACTCTGCCCAAATTCTCGGCTATGCAAAACACACACACACTATATATATATATATATATATATATATATATATATATATAATATATATATATATATATTATATATATATATATATATATATATTATATATATATATATATATATATATATATATATATATATATATATATATAAATACAACGTGAATAGAAACACGACCGACTAGGTAAGACACAATTCATCAACACGCTGATAGATTTTCAGCTAGCACCCAACCTATAATCGTTAAATCTTAAGTGAGTGAGAAAGATATGTATAGATCTATACGGGATTGACACTCCCACATGAAGTTGCTAGATACAACTCGACGACAAGTCGAAGCAGGCATAACTTTCTAAACACAACGGGGTATGTGAAAATTGGGAAATTCCCGTCACAAACCGTCACTAGAGAATATCATCAACAAGTGATGATAATAGGCCTTTCATATTTTAGGGAAAATATGATCGGTTAGATAATAATAAAAGGGTCAAAATGAGTGACCAAAAAGTTATATCACTTTTAACAATGGTTAGTGTATTTGGAAAATACACAACCAAGTGATCCCAAGGATATAATCGTTGTAAAAATATGACTACGTTTGGAAGAGTTATGATTTTATAAAAG